TGGCATCTTTCCTGGGTAAGTCCTGTGGTGCCCACTGCATCTTGACTCCTCTTGCAAGAGCAATAAGACAAGAGAAGGAAATTAAAGGAGTAATAATTGGAAAAGAAGAGATCAAATCCCTTTTGCAGATGATATAACTTTACACCCATGAGATGCCAAAAACTGCACCAGAAAAGTCCTAGAAATTATTAACACTTTCAGTAAAGTGGCAGGGTACAAAATTAACCTACAAAAGTCTATAGCTTTTCTATATACCAATAACAAGCAGTCAGAGAAAGAGTACATGGAAACACTGCCCTTCACAATAACTGCAAAAAAAATCTCAGAATAAACCTGACCAAAGACATTAAAGTCCTCTACAAAGAAATTTTAATTCCTTAAAGGAAGAGATTGAGGAAGACATCAGAAGATGGAAAGACCTCCTATGCTCATGGATTGGAAGAATTAATATTGTGAAAGTGACCACCCTATCAAAAGCCATTTGTAGATTCACTGCAATGCCAATCAAAATCCCCATGACATTTTTCACAGAATTGGAAAAAACATCCTAAGATTCATATGGAAGCACAAAAGACCTTAGATAGCCAAAACAACCTTGAGCACTAAGAACAATGCCGGGGGATTTCTGTACCAGATTTCAAGCTGTATTACAGAGCTATAGTCATAAAAACAACATGTTACTAGGACAAAAATAGACCCATACACCAATGGAACAAAATTGAAGACCCAAATATGAGTAATTGCAATTTTAGCCACCTGATATTTGACAAAGGGGCCAAGAACATTAACTGGAGGAAAGACGGTATGTTCAGCAAATGGTGCTGGCAAAACTGGATCTCCACCTCTGGAAGAATGAAACTGAACTCCTATCTTTCACCTTGCACAAAAGTCCATTCAAAAGTCAATTCCAAAAGGCTCAAAGACCTCAATGTAAAGCCTAAAACTCTTAAACTATTAGAAGAAAGCATTGGGGAAAACCTACAAGATATAGGCATAGGAAAGGATTTTCTAAACCAGGCATCAATTGCTAAAAAACCACACACACACACAAAAAACTATGGACCCATATCCTTAATGAACATAGATACAAAAATTCTCAACAAGATTCTTGCAAACCACATACAGACACACATGGAACTATCACCCACCATGATCAAGTCAGCTTTATCCCAGAGATGCAGGGATGGTTCAATTTACATAAGCCAATAAATGTCATAAATCATATAAATGGGCTCAAAGACAAGAACCATATGGTCATCTCAACAGATGCAGAGAGGGCCTTTGGAAAAATTCAACATGTATTTATGTTCAAAGTCCTAGAGGTAATTGGACTGGAGGGAACATACCTCAATATAATTAAAGCCATATATAACAAACCCACAGCCAACATCATTCTAAATAGAGAAAAACTGGAAGCATTAAAGCTTCTGTACATCAAAGGAGGCAACCAGGGAAGTGATCAGAAAACCCACAGAATGGGAGAAAATCTTCACCCGTGACACATTCGACAGAGGCTTAATAACCAGAATATATAACAAACTCAAAAAACAGAGAACCAAGACAAGAACCCAATTAAAAGATGGCCTAAGGAGAGAGCTGAACAGACAGTTCTCAAAAGAAGAAGTAAAGATGGCTATGAAACATCTTAAAAGATGTTCAACATCACTAATAATTAGG